GGATCCTTACTTGTTGAACTTCATAAATGTGTCGGGAATCTTGTGTCGAAGTGTGTCGGGATCCGTACTTGTTAAACTTCATAAACGAATAACGACAGGCACGTGCATCAGGGAACCTTGTGTGGAAGTGTGCTGGGATCCGTACTTGTTAAACTTCAATTACATAATTGTGACGAGCAATATGTCATGATTGCATCCTCGTTGGATAATTATATTAGAAGACGTAGAGTAGCGACATGCACGCCCATCCGGGATGCCTGTGTGATAGTGTGTCGGGAGCCACACTTGTCAAACTTCAAGTTTGTGAACGTGATGAGCAAGGTGTCATGATTGAATCCTTATTGGATAATACTATTTATTTCTTTTATGCATGAGTTGTACATGCATGGCAATCGTCTCGCCCGAGGCGGTTGTCTGGATGTTGTAGAGATTCAGACTTCTTTAGAAGTACAAACAATTATTTTTTACATACAATTTATTTTTCCCGGTCACGAACGCAAAATTGTCGGTTACATGTAATTCAGGCGGTACATGATTGTCTATGCACACAAGAGACATGATGTCACTGGTCTTTTACTCTTTGCATAACGAACCTCACACCCACACACTCACCGAAATTTGTCTTGCATCCACACTCCAATTCGTCATGTCGCACCACACACACGAATTTCATTTCGAGGCGAATTATATGCACATTTTTGGATGACCTGGACACAATTTGCAACGAGGACTGCAATGCGATGAATGTAATGGAACGACAGACGAGCCGGACCTGACAGAGATTCTGAAGGCAACACACGACGCCAGACTGGCAGTCAACATACCAAAGACAACTCAAACTCGCAACACCAAAAGAAAGTAATGTCGTTGTGAAAGTGACAGTTAAAATATGAAATATTCAGAAACAGAAGTTTGCAAATCAATCGAATCCATCAAAGACAACGGCATTCTAAGATACATGATGCCAATTGTCATCTAATATACGAAATATTTTTACAAGAGAACCGGAAAGGCGGTCGATCGCCACGTTGCAACAGTGTCGCAAACATCAACATAAACACCCCGCAACTAACTCCATCCACTTGTCTTGGAACTCCCTCTATAACAACATTTGTTGCTACTGACTTCCAGCACCTGCACGACCGCCTATGTGATGTTTAACATTCCAAATAGTGTACGATCAACTCGAAAACACTAAGGTAAAAACTAGAATCGACTACAACTCAAGGAAAAGAATCGAAAATCTCAAGAACATTATTTCTCAAGTTCACGGAAAGGAGGATCTAGTGATCATTATCTTTGAGGACTGGAACAAAGATAATATCATATTGAAGCAGATCCACGTTTTTAGCCCATCTTTCCACCCCGCCGTGTCCTTGAAGGTGCAGTTTACTGAAGAAGAAAGAATTAAAGCTGAAGACTCGAAGGCCTGACGGGATGTCACGTATCCCATATGCGGTCGTTCCCAATAGCGCCATGTAAAAGTTGACGACCTCATCATTCACCCTGCCGTCGGTAAGTGAGAGGGTGAGAATATCCTTCGCTGCAATTCGCAACTGACCATCGCCGTCGAGAGTACAGTGTCAGGTGGCACCAAGCCTCGTTCAATGTCGTCCAAAACCCGCACGCTTCCAATCGCAGTCACTGCTGTTCCAGGTGTCGTGGCCCGCACTGCACAACAACGAGCAAAGGACAGGGGGGGAAGTGAGAAACGGAACTCTAAAGATTCTCCTTCATCGCACGACGAGTAGCGAAGTGTTTCTCATACATGGCCTGACCCCTAGTCACAGATAGTGGATATCTTCCTTTTCTTTGGGGGCAGAGGGGAAAGACACTCCTCAATGGCAATGACATGCTCCTTCTTCCTGATTTCGACATCAACCCCTGACGACTTTAACATGTCCATGTGTTTTGTCCTCAACCCCGGGACTGTCTGCAATATGTGTTCCGGATATTTAGAGGGTCTCCGTGTTCGAGACGACCCTACCCCTGTACAACAGAAGAAAGACAAAACGAAAAATGAATACATGTTTCCGAAGAAGAACCCGACGAAAGGACAATAAAAGAACCACGAAAACTAAAAGACGCAGGACCTATGCAATTAGAGAACCCCGTCATGCCATGAGAGTGCGAGAGAGAGAACTTCCGCATGAGCCACGCTGCAAAACAAAACGAGCAGTGCACTCGAGCTCGACACCCCCGCCCTTCAGAAGGGAAAACCACATCAAGTCACAGAAGCGGAAGCCAAACATCTCTGAAGTCCGGATCCCAGCGGACTTTTCCGACCCAGGGAGATGACCCAACCCCTGGACAACCGAAGGAAGAGAAAACGGAAAATGAATATACGTAATCCAAGACGAATCCGACGAAAACGACAATTCAAGAACCACAAAATATAGAAGACGCAGGACCTATCTAATTACAGAACCCCGTTTAGCCATGAGAGAGACAGAGAATACTTCCGCGCAAGCCCCGCTGGAAAACAAAAGGAGCAGTGCGTTCGACCTCGACACCCCCGCCCTTTAGGAGGGAAAACCTCAACAAGCCACAAACGCGGAGGCCAAACATTTCTGCAGTCAGGATCCCGGCGGACTTTTCCCAATCGAGGCACAAAAAGAGTAACCGCATTACGCAGCGGCTTTGGCAGTGTGGATCTCGACGGACTAAAACCACCACTCATTCCGAAAAAGAAACACCATCCTTCCATCATGTGAGGGAACGCTTCAACAAAAGCACACATGTTTTTGTCTCGTATGCCCTGCACACGACCAGTGACCCGGACGACTCACAGGATGGTCGTTCACATGTACTTGGAAGTTTGAAGGAGTGGTGGTTGTAGCATGCCGGCATCAGGAACTCCCCGCATCGACAGACACTGTGGTCACTGGCGCGCAGACAGAGTGGCGTTTGTCACTGCTTACCAGCTGGTTTGTCTCTCCGCTCCTTAATCGGGGAAGTTGGCGCGGGCAAGGCCAGCACGTCGAGAGCCCGAGTGCCGACAACAGTTTTTTTCGGGGATGTGACATCTTGTCGTCCCCTGATCTCGCCTTCTCCTCCGCTGGCGATGGTCGGCGACAGCATCGAAGAGTTCGTTGGCGACAAAGCCATGACAGATCCCCCGGAAGCTTTAACGTCGAGAGGGTCGTCGACACCAGGCGTCGAGGACGGCTGCGCGGACATGTGGTGGTCGCCCAGGATGTCGTCGATAACTTCTTCGATGTCAATACGCACACTCGGTTTATTCAAGCTGACTTCAACACCAGGATGAAGTGGGCACGTCCGCTGACTATGCCGAGCCTGCCAGACCGGGACCGGTAGACTGCTGACGCCCGAAGTCCTCCCCCGCCACCCCGCCACTGCCTTCCACTGTCGTGGTGTCGCCCTGAGACCCGCCCTCCGAACCAGGCGGGACTCCTTTGCCGCCACCAGCCTCGTCGCCCTCGTTCTCCCCACCGTCCGGTCCCCGGGACCCTGTACTTACATGCGTCCCACTGGGAGGGGGGATTTTCCAGTCCACCCTTCCCTTCGAGGGGCTCGTATTGAGGTCCTAGTAGTCCTCCGTCAGCTCCAACCAGCACTTGTCCTGAAGTTCGACGAACAATCGCCCGGCTGTGGAAATGACGGACACGTCTTCGGGTGCGAAAGAGTCATTCTCGGCCCTCACTTTCTAGAGGACTGGAATTCTAGCGACGTCGAGGAAGTCAGACTTCGACCCGTGAGGGAGGGACATCCATCCTCCGTCCGGGACAGCGACGGCCACGATCCACTCACCCTTTTGGATCGCTCCACTCAGCCTTTTGGATCGCCGGCTGGATGACTCCTGGATGCCAAATCATGTCATGGCCCCAGTCCGCCTCCGTGGAACGACTTTGAGGCTCAGGCAGGAAGTGAATGTTGGCATCCTTCCAAGACAGATGATCGGCCGGGATGTCAGACCCGGGACACAGTGAGCAATAGCCGGAGGCCATAGCTTGCATTCTCTGCAGCAACTTCATCGGGGTAGTGCCAGGCGCCGCTTTCGCCATTGGTGAAACGAGGGATGTCGGGCTTGTTGATGGACATGCGAAGGACGACCCTGTTGTGTGCTGCCCGGGATGCGGGTCGTACTGCAGGTCGAGGCTTCCGGTGTCGCTGCCCTCCTCGTTCACGGTCGCGTCGAACTCGATGTCGGTGGTCTCCTTGTCTTCCATGGAGATCAAGGAGAAGTAACTGCCGAACGTAAACTCCTCCTCTGACTCCACGAAGTACAGGGACTGCAACCTCTCGAGGAAGGTCTTTGCGTTCATGCGGGAGGCGTCGTGGTAGTTGTCGAGCAGCGTGAACATGTGGTCCTTGCGGCACACGCACTCGGCGTCAGTGTCTCTCTTGGACCGCGTTTGCAGGAACAAGAAGTCGTATATCTTGTTCCGCTTCCTCGCACTCAACTCGAACCAATGTCCGTCTTGTTGTTCCACGCGCTAGGGCGAGACTCGTTGACGACCATGAACTTGCAAATGTGGGCACCCGAATTGACCTCGCTTTTGACGAGATCAATTGTAAATTGCAAGAGCTCGGAGTTCCCTTCCATTGTGATGACGTGCCGTCCTCCCTTCAGCAGTTCCCACACGGATCGCGCGTGTGGCTTCCCGAGGAAGACTACACCCTCCCCCTTCTTGGTGATGGACTCGAGAAGATTAACGAATTGCGTGGGGTTGTGTTCCATGTCCCCGTACACACTGCCCCGATGCGTAGGCGAGACATGCGACCAATCACAAGGGTTGAACGGGATGTCGGACACATCCGTTTGTGTAACCTTCTGCGGCAGCCGCAGTGTAGCAGCGGCGGCAGGCGACAGTTTCCCCTCGTAGACGACGGACGTGTTAGCGCACAAATCGTCGCCTTTGAAGAGTGTGTACATCCGGTCGTCTTCCATGTACAAATTATTCCTGATGGGGAAGCTTTTCTTCTGTTGACTCCTCCTCACCCACTTCCCTTCCAGCAGCTTCACGAAAGAAAGGTGGTTCATGCTGGCCAGAAACGAGAGGTTCTGTTGCCGCGGGACGAAAACGACGAGTGTCCAATGCGACGGACACCACGTCTGAAGCTGGGAATCCAGAGTGTCGAACGCTTGCGGTTTCCACAGCTTCAGGTCCACTGGTTTGCAGAGATCGAGAACGAACGTGTGACTCTTTGTGGCAACCACCGCCTCCTTTACCTCCGCACACCTTATGTCTGCCTCCAAGGGGTCGTTGCCGAATGGCGCGATGGATGTCACGTCGCCCGTGTCCTTCCATTTTATGTGCACAATTCCTTCGGCAAGYGYRATCTCGCGACTCTTMAGTYTACTGCSAGTCAAWACGGASARRACCTTATTCCTCCAGTCGACGGACAGCTTCTTGTGACCGGCCAACTTCTCCGTCGCCTCGATGGATTGGTCGTCGTCGCAGCCCATGTAAGGCGGGCAGTCCTTGAACAACGAGGAGTCAGCGACGTATTTCCTGCTCCCGTCCCACAACTCTGCATCCAAATCACGACTCTCAAACTGTTTGAAAATTGCGGACCTTGTTTTCAGGAACGGGCACCTCTGGCTCCAATCCGCGTCCGACCTCTTCTCGTGCTTGACTTGGTAGTAGTTCCACAGACGCACCAGCACCNCAGCTTCTTGTGACCGGCCAACTTCTCCGTCGCCTCGATGGATTGGTCGTCGTCGCAGCCCATGTAAGGCGGGCAGTCCTTGAACAACGAGGAGTTAGCGACGTATTTCCTACTCCCGTTGTCGAGCGCATCGGTCCGGCACCGCACGTGGCAGCGCGGTACCCTCTCGCCCGCGTCACGCAGGAGTTGGACCAGCCTCGTCACAAACACATAAGTGGAGCTTCCTTAGGCCGCTCCGGCCGAGTGCGCCAGCCATACCTCTCGCTAGCCCCTACGACAGGATAGGGCCTACACGAGGCACAACTTACCTCCACCTTACGGGAGTTGTCACCTCCCTTCAGTGGGCGTATCCCCGCCGAGCTACCAGTCCACAGTACGAAAGCTAATCAGTTGCAATCGCAGAGGTGGACCAGCCGAGGGCGTTTTTCGGTTGCTGTAGCATAGGGGGCATGCACGGTAATATGCCTCTATCGGACCCGCACGCGAACCGACATCTTGGGGGGCTGAGGTCCCAAGCGCGACTCGTCGTCTGTCGACTAGGACGCATCCCACACACCACGCGCACACCACTTTTCGAACACAAAAATAAAACACACACACACACACACAAACATACGAAACGACACAACATAAACAACGCGACAATGCTCCTAGCCCCTCGGTAGCCAACCCATAACTTTCCAATGCGGGAAATCGAATTGGCGTCGCGCGCGAGACTTAGTATAAAACCGCGCGGACGCATGGCTAACTCATATCGACTCGCAATGCAAGCATACGCAAGCGGTCGCAATGATGACGTACTATGTAGTACCCATGCTCATACCGTCCTCGTTAATCTCGAGGGTCGCATCCGTCACTCAAGTGTCGGCTGACACGCACCTTGAGGGTTCATCTCTCGACGATGGACAACCGCCATGCGCGGTTGAAGACCACACACCCTCTTCTGCACTCTGTGCACAGTGGGTGGTACAAAGGTTCATACCTGTGGTGGCAGTCGTTTCCGGCGGCCCTGGGGATGAGTCTCACTCCAGGCCTGGACTAAAGTCCAGGGGTTTGACTTTGACGGCTGCCACGGACTACAACGTCCAACTAAACAACTCTAAAAAGGAACGGTAAAATGAGAATCCCCCTTTTATCTCAAGACATAATCTGGTTAACCCTTATGCACAATTACAGTAGGCCTCTCAAATACCCAGGGCACTTATAAATATATGAGGGTTAATTATATAGGACGATCACTTCTCACAGTCACAGTGAGGCTCCTCTCAACCATATATACATGTAATCGCAGACAATCACTTCTAGAGCCCGATTCACAAACGCACCTGCAGCCACATCAAAGATTCGATCAAAAGTTCACGCACTACACGAGGTCAACTTCAACCATTCCTTGCACTCATACTCCCTGCTTTAGCCATACAAACCTCACTCCTGTGCAACTCCCCAAAATAAGTACTCAGTACTTTAGTTAAATGGTCATTCAATAAAGTCCGGGTGAAAACACAATGAAACAATTCAAACCACATGACTAAAGCCCTTAGGTTAAGTGACAAGAGTGGATTGGAGTTAAATCGTAAACCGACGAATCGGCAACCGACCTGTTATCAATGATAAAAGAAGATGATCCTCAAGGGATCCAGCTGAATTTAGTCAAAGTCCTGAATCAGATCGATCAAGAAGACCTGTAACACAAGACAGGTCAATCCCCAGACTAAACCTATAAGTCAATGGAGAATAACTTCCATATCACGATTCTACTCAAACATCCTAATTAACTAAGCTTAAATCTACCTCTAAACCAGTGCCCAAAGCAAAGGTAGACTAATGGCAGAATCTCCCCTATTCAGAGTGGACTACCAGAATCGCCACCTGTCAAAATATAGTTTATCTCCTTAGAACTAAGAAAATTTCGGCAGTGCTTCCCATAGAAAAAATGCCTTTTCATAATTTATACAAATCCAAACATGAAAGCAGAAATAATCTTTAACTCTGGAATGTCAAATTTTGTCTAACTCCCTGAATTAGTAAAAATTTGGGCAGCACTCCCCTTAGAAAGGGAGACTTCCCAGATTTATATTAAGTCAGATACGAACTCAAAAGACAACTTGATTTCAACTTAGACAAGATTTAACTAACTCCTTAGTTTTGCAGAAATTTCGGCAGCACTCCCTTTAAAAAAGTGTTATTCCAAAAATTTATACAAGGCTAAGTTCAGAATTTTAAAGTAAATTTGACTTCTCAAAGTCCAATTTTGTCTAACTCCCTGAACTAGCAAAAATTTGGGCAGCACTCCCTTTAGAAAAGGAGACTGTCCAGATTTTTACTAGGTGATATAAAGAAAAGACAAGTTGAACTTTGACAAGTCAACAATTGACTAACTCCTTGGACTTGTAGAAATTTCGGCAGCGCTTCCCGTAAGTAAAGTGGCTTGCCAAGATTTATACAAAGCGAAGTACAAAAAAATGATCCCAGAAAATGCAAGAATTGACCTAAGTAAAAAAAACTATGCTCAGAAAATGAAGGAATTGAAACTAACTCCTATAGCTCCAGCACGTGGCGAGCGACTAAAGCAACTACCTATCAAATTGAAACTTCAACCAAGTAGTAGCCTCACTCAGTCACATGCAAGCCAAACCACAAAGGTAAGTACTCTCACCACCTCAAAGTATACCTGAACTAACAATAGTTCATGATCTTTCAATGATTTAATCCTTTATTTCCCTCTTACATAAGGCATAGGTCAGGCTGCCTAAACTTACAGAGCGCACCCAACTTAGCCAGGCCTAGAGTCAGAACACCTAAACTTATAAAGCGTTCTGACTTGGCCAAATATACACAAACAGAGGGCAGAACTACTTTTCTCTTCTTTGGGCACATGACTAGACCACTCTGGTCGCCCTGGACTGTTTAAAGTATCCAAGTTGTATATATTTATCTTCTCCTTTGTCTTCTAAGGCTGCATATGACTGAACTAGCTTAAGTTCAGTCCGCCCCAGTTTACCACTAGTTTTATTCTTAATTATACTCTCGTCAGGTTGTGATAGGCTATAGTCAGACCACCTAAACTTATAGAACAGTTTGATTAGCTCGTTCTTAAATAAATAGTAATAAAGTATAGCCAAGTTATAACCATTGGGTTCCGACATGTGCGAGGCTTCGAGTTAGACCCCCTGAACTTACAGAAGGGTCTAACTCTCTGTCAAGTTCATTTCTCTCTGAGCCATCACGTGTGTGGCATTGAGTCATGCCCCCTGAACTTACAGAAGAATCTGCCCCTTTGCCAAGGTCTACTTCTTCAAAATAAAAGCAGGAAGAGATTAAGCCACCTGAACGTACAGAACAGCTCGGTCCCCTCGTTCAGAAGCCTAAGAAACAGATAAAACCCCAATGAAAACAAGGCAAACCAAGGCACCAAAACTTATTGAATGCCCTGAGTCCCTGAAAGTCAAGCACAATCAAACCCTCGCATGTCAGAGCAGTCAGGCCATCTAAACTTATAGAACAGCTTGACCCTTCATGCAAAACCATAGCACTGGGTCTCCCCAAACTTATGGGGACATCCCAGCCTCCAAAGCAATCAGACCCCCTAAACTTATATAAGGGTCTGATGCTTCAATCAAAACCAAAAGAAACAAAGCACTGGGTCTCCCCAAACTTATGGGGACCTCCCATCCTCAATTACCCAGTCAAACCGCATGCAATTTAGCCCTCCATCCTGCCTTACCCAGATGCAGTTCCTTTTAACAGTCTGATTTCATACAGTCAACAAGGCTGATACTGAAACTTGAACAGACATTCACTTACTTAGTCTTGTTCAGTGTCCTGAACGTCAAGCGAAGCTAAAGGTAGGGCTGCACACCATATACTTAGTCAGCGATGCAATAGGCGATACAGGTAGGGGCTATAACTGGGTTTATAGAAGGAACAACAATGGTTACCTGACAGTTCCCTGGCTCCAGACTCCTTCTGAGTTCCGACAGAGCTCTCGCAATCGGTGGGTGGACTCCCCACAGAGTCTTGTTGCGGATTACGGGTTGCAATCCCGCCTGCCGCCTTCCTCTCAGAACCAACAGACTAGACTTAGAGTGAGAAGGGCAGAAGAATGGAGTTTCAGACTCTCAGATCCAAGAGGGGTGCTCTCAGACTCGCGGGAGAGAGCCTTGGTATCTTTAATCACCTCTGGGCCCCGCAATGGTGGCCAAGTAACAACAGCTTGGTCAACCCTCAAATTCCAACTGCCGAGTCAAACTCTCCTGACGAACTCCCTCCCTCTTCCACAACTACTCCTCCACTCTTCAACGCGCCGCTGCAACCAAACAACCTTCAAACGGCCGTAGCCAAGGCAGCATAGTGGCCTGCAGCCACTCAGTAACCGCTACAGGGGATAACGCAGATGAAAATGAACAGCGAAACACATAGCTAGCGCGGCACCGACCCGGCAAGTTCTGAAGCAGCCTATAGCAGCAATGTTAGTTGACTCCTGCAAATCGCCCTGCGTGAACCGCAATAAGCAGCCGCACCACTACGTACCAGCAATCCTAATGCACGCAGCAGTCGCATGCAGTGACCGAGCCATATGACTGAGCCACATGCCTTGCAGTTTGATCTTTCAACAACCACTCATCCACATACCTGTGGGAAACACAGCCTGTCGTCGCTGCTCGCACAGGCAGCCTAGGCCTACTGCGGTTGGCCACAAATTGAAATAATGGTAAGCCGAGAACTTCCCGATTAGCAGGCGACCTCCCAAGCCTGCGGCTCACCTGTAGCTGCCCTGCTCAATACATAGGCTCTGCAGCGGCCAATGAACACGTCTTCATGAAACAGTGCACCCATGGAAACCACACGGAGCATGAGCAGCAGCTCATAGTGATTCACTTCAGTCCCTCTAAGAAGCTGCGGCCCAGAACATCTAAGGGCATCATTGACCTGTTATTGCCTCAAACCTCCGTTGGCCGGTCGTCCAACAACCCCTCTCCATGTCACGATGCCAGCCCGCTGCCCGAGCTCCTAATCCCTCACTTTGCCTCCTGGGCGAGCTAATCGGGCAACAGGTAAGTCTCCGTCCTCGTGGCCAGCTTCTCGCCTCCCTCGCTGCTGCGAGGAGCCAGATCGGATGAACCTTCTACTACAGGGTGGGAAGATGCATCGTCATTTCCCAGCCCCGTACCTGCTGCCTTCATCGCCCTGTCGAACAATGCACCGGCCACCAGGTAAGCATACATTCTTTTCTCGCTCTCTCTCCGCTGCTTAGTGCAGAAGGCCATGCCCCATATGAGTACGTACGAAAAGGACGAAAGAAGAAAAGAAGAAAAAGGGGAATGAATCTTTCGCTCGGAATGGGGAAGATTCATCCCACGTTCAGCCTCCCTTCCTACATGCAGCCATTTTCTCTACTAATTTCTAATATACTTACTCTCTCCCAAAACTGACTTCACGGTTGGATT